ACATTGTTCGGCGGTGAATTAAAACGCTGTGTAAAACTCAGCATGTTTTCCCGTCAGAGGTGGTGTAAACCTTTGGCGGAATTTGAGCATGTTTGGGAAATTTTGAGAGAAAGACCAGCATGCACTGAGCAGCGCGGGGAACACTTGCTTGAACTAAAACGTTCGGAAATAAGAAAAAGTCTGTGCCCAGCTATTGGTATGTATACACTCTTGGATTCATATTTGGTTTAAATGTGGTAGAGGTTATGGTTATAATATAAGAAATGAACAAAATTTTAAAATTCCGGCTAATAACAAAATTATTGCAACATAAATCACAATGTATTAAAATGCTCATTACTGTCTTTTCTTTATCAGCACTTTTTTCAATTTTTTTTTATGTAAGTAAGGGTGACAAACGAGCACATAGTCCCCATGATGAAAAGTGGAAGCTGTGGACCATAGGCACCTACATCTATCAATGATTTTGAATTAAAAAGCATTATAACCCCTGAGATCTACAACCGATATCCGTTAGATCGATACTAGTAAGTCTCAAGTCCTGGTACTCCAGTTGTCTGTCTGTTTGAGTGAGACAACTGGTCTTCCCGATAGAGCCGACCTATTCATGCTGCAGCATACTGATGCAATGTGGTTTTACCAGGTAAAACGTTTTGTTATATGTAGGCTGCGTTATTTATTCATATTCATATTATTTATTACATTCATAATGTTACAGTTAAGGTGTTGAGAACATTTTAAGTTTTAACTTAAAACTATGAGATCATTATGGGCCCTGAAGGGTACGGCAATTAAGAGAGAGGAAGGCCATTATAATGAAACTATAATGATAAATACACTATATACTATTGCAACTGAAGGTATTTTAGGTAGGCATTTAAAATTTATCATTTAAGTATTCGTTTAGCGTGTAGTAGTGTTTACAAATTAAAAATTCCTTTAGTTTATTTATAAAATCAGTGTATTTTTCTATATTTTTTATCGATTCTGGGAGTTTGTTAAAAATTTTGATAGACATGACGAAGGGACCTGATGAATGTTGTTTAAGGCGAGATAATATGGCTATAGTCAGTTTTTCTTTATGGCGTAATTGGTATCTGGTATTGCTTTCTCTTCATTTAATACAAAATTCTGGTTATTTACCACGTCTTTTACTACATTTCTATGGTCCGTTTACATGAGTTAAAGGATCAAAGTTTTTTTTCGTTGAATAATAAAGACTTATTAGGCGTATAATTTTTTTTTAATAAATAATTTTCATCACATTCACACTCACACATATGTAGCACACTATAATACAGGATACACTCGTAATCTTCTTATTAAACTAAAACAAAGTCTAAAGTTCCCAGTAGGAAATAATTGCATGGATTGAATTTTCGACGTCAGACTAGTTTCATTCGATGCACAATTACCTATGATATTAGAACCTGATTTTCACCAAAATAACTGAATAATTATATGTAAGTATTTAATAGTATCTCTTTTATCCTGTTTCGTATTTCAGGTTTTATATATTTTATCATTTCTTACTGAGAATTTGTAGTGTGGAGTGACCTCCCGGGACGCACTAATTTTTTTGATTGTTTCTAATTCATTATAGCTATAATATAAAGAATAAGTGTTTGCTTACACAAATCTATCTGTAACGTAACGAAATCTATATAAAATCTGTATTCACTGTGTTCATGAGAAAATATTCGGTGGTCTTTAATGATTATGTAATTCAATACAAATATTAGGCCAAAGATAAAAATACTTATTATACAATGTACTAAATTTAGCATAACTGTAATATATGCGTTTGATATCAAGAATAATCTTCGTAAACACGACACTCTCTAGTATACATTTACTGTTTATTTTCCTTATAAAATTTAATACAATCTAAAATAATTATATAATATGGACTACAACTACGTACACTAATATGGAGCAGTTAATGAGTCTCCAGGCCATAAGTCACTTCTATGTAACATCACGCTTGCTCCTATGATGGCCCCATACAATCGTCCAACTTCGAACGTTTTGGGCGAACTTTTTCAAATCATGAACTGCGGGTTCGTAAAGGTGACCGAAAACTTAATTATTAATCCCAACAACCAAAAAAATCTACACGACAAAGATGATGGTGAATGGTGAATTGTTAGTGGTAGTTGTACATCGAAATAAAATAATCATGAGCAGAGGATCGGCACATGGAATTTAGCGACCTCGATCACATTTCACTGATGTGGTTATCTTTGCCACTAACGCCGGGCGAACTAGGACGAAAATTTTAAAGGGATCGTTGGAGGGTTGGACGATCCTCGTAGAGCCAACATTTACTGATCTTTGTACCTCCAGTAATGTATATGATTCCATTGTCTCGTATTAGGGAACAAGTATACACATGTGATAGCAAGTAATTATGTAGATAGATGGTAAACTAATATCATGTCTATTAGACATGTGTCAATCATTCATTTTTAGCGACCGAATCATTCTAGTACATTTCGTCACGCGTACTGGTACATTCGGATCGATCATTCAAATGGATCATTTCAGAGTCCAGTACTCTGTGAGTCTGTGAGATCTATTGGGAACCGAAAATTTTCTATTTGAGATTTGTAATAGCGCCATCTATTACATGCTATAGGTAATAAAGTCATTTTATTGTACTAAAACTTTGACTTTCAAGGTGGTAAGTACAATCGACGCTAGATGGCATAAACACAAAAACCTCAAGTTATCATATATTTAATAAATTTGTTTGTTCTTAAATGTTACTTCTAACAATCCACAATTTCATCTTACTTTACATGTCTAAAAATAGAGATTGTAACATTTATTTGCTACAAAATTAAACTTTTACCAATCTTATACTTATACAATATGTAACAAAAACCCTGTGGTTCCCGTTAAGTGTGTTATCAGGATCAGTATCCAAGCGTATAGAAATATTTTTTTTTCAAAAAAACACCATTAAAAAATTTATTTTAATGAAAAAAAAAATTTAATTTGCCAATTGTATGTGGTTTTATTTCCTCTAAATCACACAAGTATCTGTAATGCGGGGTCTTTGACAATCCTCTTACTCCCAGGCCAATGCTGAGATAATAAAACCACATACAATTTGCAAATTAATTTTTTTTTCATTAAATTTTTTTAAATATATTTTTTTTGGAAAAAAAATATTTCTATATGCTTGGATACTGATTCTGATCAAGCAGTTAACGGGAACCACAGGGGTTTCGTTACATGTTGTATAAGGTGGTTGAAAATTATCATATTAAATAAATCATTTATCATTAAATCTTTTGAAGTGTTATTTTTAGTAAAATCTACGAAATTATATTTTTAACTCATAGATGTAACAAATAAATATAAGTCATAAAATGTAAAATATTTTTTTTATTTTGGTAACAATATTATAATAAAAAACCCTTAAATAATAAATACTCCTGATACTCTGCAGCGTAGACAGAAAATGCTAGCATTCTCCATCTACGCTCTGCAGTCTGCACTTTTAATTCGATTCGTCTGCTTATTCAGATCATTCGCGATTCGATCGGTTTGCGGCTCATTCACAATTCAAACAAATCGCGGGTTAAAAAGGTACCATCAATTGTTTGTGATTAATTGTACTGGAACATTCAAAAACAAATGAATAAACCATCAGTAGTTCTAAGTGTACCAGATCAAACGAACGAATCATGCATGATTGACACATGTCTAATGTCTATGTATAACTACTGGACTTTGTTTCAGTGATTGACTCAACTTTAAAAATAAAGATAAAGAATGTTGGTATAAAATAGTAGAAGTTATATTTACAGAATTATTTTAATCATAACCAACTAGTGGTAGGCAGCTTCTACAAAATACTAGTTGCATAGAACTAATGTAGAAGCGACCTCTCAGTCTTATTTTATTATACATACTGTTCCATCCTGCGTCTTTTTTGTTTTTCATATGAGTTATATAGTTTCTATATTATTACTGACCAACTAATTGTATCAAAACTTATAAAATAAAAGTACGGAATGATGTCAATGTGTACAAGAAACAGTCAATAGTGAAAAAATCGTCGTTATTTAAAAAGTTATTCAAAATAAACAAAAATGTTTCGGACTGCATATTAATAAACTATGAATAGCAACTTTTACCTACTGTTATAGTGCTGTGAAGTAAATAATTTTTTAAAAACATTACAGTGGGTGCGTTTGGCAGAAAAAGCGCTAGCAAGCGCTTGTAAGCAAAATGGCGAAACTAAACAGTTTTCTGCCAGGAACGTTTGCTAACTTAGTAGCACGAAATGATTTGTATTTATTTGTTTGTTTTGAAGTAGAGTTTATAAGTTGTTTTGTGCAATATTAGTTTTACGTAATATTATGACATGAATAGACATTTACATGTTATTAAAAATTCATGATTGGTAAGTTTTTAATATGAATACTTTACAAACATATATTTAAATTAGGTTAGGTTCCCCGTTTAAAACTAACTTCGTGTCCTAGAGGAAAATAGCTACTTACGATTTGACAGCGCTTACCGCTTACGATCGCCATTTTGCTTACAAGCGCTTGCTAGCGCTTTTTCTGCCAAACGCACCCATTAACTCTATGTTCATTATTGCCGTTGTGTTTGACGTTATTTGCTCATTGGGTGCGTTGGATAATGATTGTTGGTGATTATTTATAGTTAAAACTATTTTAGCGCTTGTAAGCGCTTGCTAGCGCTTTTTTCTGCCAAACGCACCCATTAATCTACTATTTATTTTAAAGGTTAGTATTTAAAAAAATGTTGCATAATATAAAATTATAATAGGTTTTTTAATATGGTATAATAGTATATAACTGTCTGGACTCGAAATGGTTGTTTTATATATCGACAATAAATAAAATAAGAAGTTTACTTGTTTAAAAAACGTAAGTTGAAACTAAAATATATAGTATATATGTATATTGGTCGTAATCCATTCAATGAGGATAAGAGAGTTTCTTCAGTAATACCAGTCTTTAAGATGTTGGTGACGGGGCTGGACATCCTGAAAAAAACATTACTATTCAATACACGAATCATTAACTATATCTTAGTGACTTACTAGATAGTACGACAGAACCTTTTCTCTCTAGGGGTCCGTTTGGATCAGCTTACTACTGTAATTCTTTATCAACACCCCTTCGAATACACAGGAAGATAGGAGTTTCCAAGAATACTACCAGCACCACTAGTGTTGCCCAAATGCAAGAACAAGACGAGACTTAGCCAGTCTTGGTCTTGGTCTTGGTATTGCGCTCTCAGTCTTGTTCTTGGTCTTGGTCTTGCAGCAAGAGTCTCGCAAGTCTCGCAATTACCTATTAGCCTATTGTTATTTATTAAACGTTACTTTAGATCTTAGAACAACTTAACAGAGTAGGCACATTTTGTGCTTGAATTAACATAGCCATAGAAATACCAACCAAATTAATAAATGTCTAAACATTTAATGAGAATTCGAATAATCAACTAATACCGGGTGGGGTTTGAACCCACGACCTAAGCGATCCGTGCCGATGCTCTAACCAACTGAACTGTCTACCAAGTCTCACGGCCACGGGAGTTAGTCTGTTTCTTAATAAACGTTTACATTTAATAAGCTTACATGTGTTAAAACTTAGTCAAAACATATAAAAAACAAATAAATGTCATTAACTTGACTGTATTATAAAGAACATTATCTGTCTAGAAAGAAATTGATAGACCCTTATATGAAATGGAATAAAAGAGTTATACAATTTACCATTTATTTAAATAAAAAAAATAAAATACAATACAAATTAAATTACATAACAGTACACAACAACTTTGACGTTACTGTTACTTTATATTAATTCTTTTGACCAAGAATGAATACAAAGTAACCATCTGGCTGACTCATCACTTTACCTATTTCTATGTTTTCTAATTACTAATGATGCTTTAGAAAATAATCTCCCAGCAGGTACTGAAGTTGCAGGTATTGAAAGAAAATCACGGGCCACCTTCGATAAAGTCGGATATTCTGTCTCATGCGTCCTCCAGCACTCTAAAATGGTTTTATCTATATAGCCTCTTTATACTTAGGTAAGACTTTTGCAGCGAGAAAATTTCAAAATCTCATAGGAAATCAGATATTGTACGCGGACGAAGTCGCAGGCGGCCGCTAGTTACATAATATATGTGTTATGTAATTGTGTGATAAGTATATTTTTTATTACCTGTCCACTTTTTCCGGTGGTTATTAAAAAGCTTGTGATATCTCCATTTAATTTTGGTTTTTCAGGAAGAAATATTTGTGATTCCTTTTTTGTGGAAAGATATTAGATGCTTCCTTAAACCTGAAGTGTTTCTATTTTTCATTTTTATCTCAACCTTTTTACGGTGGTATAATTTACACAAAGCAATTTGGGATGCATGAATCATGTCGAAAAACTCATCAAATTTACTTTTAGGTCTTTTAGATCTATAACTCCAACTCTCACTACTCCGACTAGAACTATTCGACTCTTCGTCACTCATGTCAAATTGTAAACTTATCACTCCGAGAACAACAAGGATTAGAGTAAAAACAATTAATACATTAGACTCGAAGCAAAGCTCAATTGGGAATGACTGGAATTAAAATAAATACTACTATTTGTAAGTACACGCCGAAAGACCGACAAAGGAAAGTTCGGCATCCTTTGATAAAATTAATGATTCTTCAGAAGATTAATAAAGTAGATGCGTTGCCAGATAGGTATAGTGTGCCTACTTAAAAATGAAATGTAAATATGTAAATAAAATTGTGTATATTATGTTGTTCTTGTGATTGAATTAATCTACGTTAATTAAATTAAATTTGCCTTCCCTCGTTTGAAATTCAAAATTCAAATATGTTTTATTCAAGTAGGCATTAAAAATACACTTTTGAATAGTTATATAATCACTGTTTTCCCCAATTTTTTCTTTTCCACGTCAAGGGGTTCTGATTCTACAGAGAAGAATCATGGAAGAAAGTAAGAAACTCAGTAGTTGCTCTTTTCAAAATATTTTTACAATAGTTCCTATAATTATGTAAAGCGATAAGTCAAACATAAAATGTCAAATGTATATGTAGATACCAAATCGGTTTAGAAATTTCTAGTTAGTCCTGTGTAGTACGAGAGGTCAGTTTCAAGCATTTTTGTCTGACTTAAATTGAAAAGGTGAAAGATCTAACATTTCTTTTGGAATCTTATTATAAAAGCGTATATCGCTACCCAAGAACTCATTATATACTTTGTGTAACCGGAAAGCAGGTATTGTGATTTTATTTTTATTTCTACTATTAAAATTGTGCAAATCACTATTATTTACATCAATTCGTTGCAATCAATTTCTTTAAACGGTTCTCTAAGAGATACTCGGGCTCCTAAAAATTACATATTTTATTTTACGCTTTTTATTTAATAAGCACACTTTTTATATTATTCGATTAGCATTGTAAAAAAAGTTTCAAGTGTGTTAAAAGTGTCTACAATATTTATCAAGTGGGTGACGACATATTCGAACACTCTGTGTTCGAAAACACACACTTCCAAAAATCGAGATTTGCAGTGAACTTATTGAACATGTTTATCTATTAGGTAATAATAATAATAGTAAGTAATTATTATAAACCCATATAGTTAATATTACAATAATTACTTACTAGAATAAATTATTATGGTATCTACCTATCCTTACCATTATCTAATTACAATATTCCTTGCGAGATCAGTATAATGTATTCGTGTCCATTCTGAGCACCCGGAAACTTATTTTATTCTTTGGAACATGTACTCTGTGGAGGCATTTAAACAGTGTCAAATGTAGTGCGTGCGGCCCGGCGGCGACGATTGAATGCGGTATCAATAGAAGCCGCCGGCGCGTGTATCTTGACCTTGTACTTCCGAATAGCTGCAAAATTTCTTTGACAGGTCAGTATTCGACCTTTGATGATGCCGACAACAAGACGCCGCGCACTAACAAAGTGCTGATGTTCAAAACTAGGGATGCACTGTTTTTTCTTTTAATGGATATTTTCATCCGCTATGTATGTTTATGGTATTGTTCGTAATGCGCATAAGTCCAATTTTCCAAATTTTTTTTATATATTTTTTTGCGTCTCATAGAGTCCCTAAGCGTATACCCGAACAAGACGCAAGAGTCTCGCAGGCTTAGTCTTGTTCTTGCTCAAATCTTGCACAGTCAGTCTTGGTCTTGCTATAATTAGGCGGTCTTGTTCTTGGTCTTGGTCTTGCAAAAATGCAAGAACAAGACCAAGACTGCAAGACCAAGACCGATTTTGGGCAACACTAAGCACCACGCTTAACTGAGGATTGGTGAGCGAAGAGCCCATATCTGCGCAGATGTAATGCTCCTGTCTATTACCAATCTGTGTTGTTTGACTTTAGCGTTTTTGGTTCGACCTTTTACGATCAGTCAGTCGCCATATCCTCGTTTATTAATCAACAGGGATTAATGTCATTGAAAAACAAGAAAGACTCTGTAGCTTGAAATATAGTTTTCAACTTCATTTGGGTATAAAAGTTCAGTACGATTGGTGTCTTTATAAGTTATGTATGTATTTATAAGATACAATAACCTATTTAGATGCACCAATTCTGTAAGAGGTAAAGGACCATTCAAAGAGTAAGAGATCCACTAAAATTACAGGTTACTGGGCATTCCACCCTATTCCATCTGAAGATATTATCGTTTAAAAAAACAGGAACGTTATGCGCACTAATAATATTTTTTATCCCGTGAGGACTAAGATGGAATACCTCGTTTCCAATAAAAAAGAAAAAAAAAATACAAATAAAAATCTTAAGAGGCATGTAGGTTTTTTACGTTACGGCTCAGCCGGGGTAGGACCATGCTCTCACAGAATGCCAACGCAAAATAGAAGAATAATGCTACTGTGTTTCGTAAAGTGAGTATAAAGAACCGGAGACCCTTTTTAATGGAAATGAGACATTTCGTCTTTAGACTAAGGGTTGACAAGGCATTTGCATTTTGATTCTTAATTGATGATAAATGTATATATCTATGAGCCACAGCATCCATTTACCAACAGGTGGACTTTGTGCCCGTTTGTCACCCCTTTTTCTATAAAAAGTTTACGTACTGCAGACGGTGCAAGCGATCTCGTCGCTGTTGTCGCCGCAGCCGTCGCGTCCGGAGCAAGCGACGGCCGTGCTGCGGCAGCGCCCGTTGCCGCACCGCAGCGGGCAGAAGTCCGCTGCGCGCCATCTGAACAAACATAAGTACTATGCTACAGCTAGGGCGGCCAACTTTTTTTATAAAATCTAGTTATTTCAAGTCCAGTTCAAAAACATAGATGTGGTAGCGCATTAACATGAGCTAGTATTAAAAAGATTATTACCTATAGGAGATAAAGAAAATTAGTTAAACAAATAAGTTCAGAAGGATGTCATCAATTTTTGAGAAAACAAATACATAATTAATTCATTATTTTAAAATGTATTACGTCAGTCGAGAATTGTCTTAGATAATTTAGAAAAAAATATAAAAAAATGTAGTATTGCAATATCGTAAAGAAGTAAATCCAAGTTTCGCGACGAAACAATTTATTCCCAATCAAACTATGTATTTTTTACAATTGCCCGTAACATCGATATACAACGTGTAACAAAAACCCTGTGGTTCCCGTTAACTGCGTTATCGGAATCAGTATCCAAGCGTATACAAATAATTTTTTTTTCAAAAAAACACATTTAAAAAAATAATTTTAATGGAAAAAAATATTTGCAAATTATATGTGGTTTTATTTCCTCTTGTTCATATGAGTATCGTTAATGCGAGTTCTTTGACAATCCTCTTACGGCCAATGCGGAGATAATAAAAGCACATACAATTTGCAAATAAATTTTTTTTCATTAAAATTAATTTTTTAAAAGTGTTTTAATTTAAAAAAAATATTTGTATACGCTTGGATACTGATTCTGATAACGCACTTAACGGGAACCACAGGGTTTTTGTTACATGTTGTATACTCGTATGTAGCACTAGATATGGCATTCCGAACACTAGTGAGTGTTCGGAATGCCATATCTAGTAGTGTTCAATTGAACTGTACTGCAATTCGTAAACCTGTTATTGTGGCTTTGATATTCATGCAGTAGGGAACGGCACTAATAATAATTTTATAAATTAGCACATATGCATAATATACGAAAATTAAAAAATAAGTAAACAATTATTTATTATGACAATTTTGGCGCGTTTATATCAACTGCGCATACGATACAGAGTAGGGCACATTTATTGTTTGGAATAGCTTCTCTAGTACGTAGTACAATCATATAACTCAATGGCCTGTAATCTTCTTGAATCTTTACGTTTGAATAATACTATAGTTCATAAAAGATAGCTTGATCTCTGCGACAGCTGTCAGTAAAATCACGCCTATGAAGTCCTGAATTTCTTAGTACAGACATTACCTGTCAATGTAACTGTCTGTACTACTAAGAAATTCAGGACTTCATAGGCGTGCTTTTTACTGACAGCTGTCGCAGAGATCAAGCTATCTTTTATGAACCATAGTAGTTTTAAATTATAATAATATAACCTACTTACTAACTTAACAAAATAACTTTTGATTAAAATAGGGTCTGTAATATATTCGTATTTGTATATACTTATATAAATGTTAGACCCATGTCCACGTACTGTCACAAGCTGACGGAAAAAATAATATTGACAAAAACTGTAGGTTAGTACTGCAGGTAGTGTAGCCTAAACATACTATCTACTGCTATATTATACTCTGCACAACCTGTTCTTTTGGGTTTCTCATACAAATACCCTTACATTTCATAGTTAGTCCGTTATTATTACAATATAGAGTAAGTTTTATAATAACAAATATTTAAGCATGAGCTTTTGTTTTATGATCACGATTGCATGGTAGTATGGTTGTAAACCTGCCTTATCTAGTCTTCAAAACTCGGTTTTCGGAATCGGACATACTTTTATTACTTCTCTAAAATTGCATTCCAGTTAATATGCTATACAGTCAACCTATAGTATTCGCAAGTAAGATGTTAAGTAACAAGTTGCCGTGTGGTGGCAACATAAGAGAAATCATCACCCAATTTCGTCTTGCGGTTGTCGAAACAGGCGACTATGGTAAATGGCAACCTACACTAATCTAGATATTTTGGCTTTGGCAATTTCTTTGCAGCATTCATTCATACATATAATTAAACTAGACCAAAAAATACATACCAAGGCAACTCACATTGTCCAAACAGTTTTATTTTTAAATAGTCATCATGCAATTTTTAGTAATCTTCATAGTAATACTTTTATATGCGCCTTGAATTTGTGCAAAGGCAATTCAATAATACTACATGAAAATTCATAGTAGTTCAGGGGCTAAGCGCTTTTAACTAACAATTAAAAGAATTTCAGTTTTGACCTTAAAACAAGAAGTGTATTTCTATAAGTATGTCTACTTAGTAATCTTGGGTCAGTGTCTATCGTGTTTTTAAAAACTACTACACTACGTACATAGCCGAGGGGGAAATCGGAAGAAAATAATATACGAATTCCGATTATCGAACGGTAAACGAACACACGATTCCGAGTATCCACCCTAGGGTGGATAAAGGGAATAACCCGTCAGGGCCTGATTTGACTACAGGATAACTAGGCTCGAGCCTAGGACACGAGGTTCGAGGGGGCGCTGAGCTTTCAAGCACCACTCATGTACAGAATTAAATTTGGTTATATATTCTCAATAAATAATAAAGTAAGTGTTGCAAATATTTACTTGTTGCTCTTCCTTTTTTTTTGTATTTTTTTGATTGTAAAAATAAGACTTTGAATTATTTGGTACCCTTCGTCTTTGACTGACTGGACGTCATTCAGATTTTTAACTACTCAGGTTCTCTTCTCTACCTCTAATTTATTAAGGTGTTTTGCCGAGGCTGTCTAAGGGAACTTTTGTCAGCCACCTGTTCCGTCTCTGCACAGAGAAAACGACTCAATGATCCATGACACAAAGAAGAAAGTCGATATTTTAGGTTCTCTTTTTGAGTTAAACTCGACTCTCGATGACAGGTGGTACATATCGCCGAACATCCCGCGGTTATATTGCTCCATGCTGGATAACACGGATTACGTTTACATAGCGCTCAGTGTGTAAAGCACTCATCTCCCTGGACGTCAACAAGTCGAATGGGTCTGATGGAGTCCCTCCTACGGTGCTGAAGACGGATGCTCTGGAATTAGCACTCGTTTTAACGCATCTTTTCCGATACTCTTACTCCCTAGGCGTAATCCCGAATTTATACAAGACAGCTTTAGTGCACGCGATCCCTCACGACGGCTCAGATCCGACCAACTACAAGCTTATGACTATCGCCTCTTGATTTCCAAAAATAATGGAATCTCAGCTCATAACCTTGAAGACCGCAGTAGAGTCCAAGAGGGATACCTTGGTCGTTACTTTCGACATATAGCGAAGGCCCTCGATAGGCTTTGACACAAAGCGCTTCTTTCAAAGCTTCTTTCCTATAGGCTTCCCGAGAAATTGTACAATCGGTCATCAGTTTTCATGCAGATCGGAGCATCAAGGTCGTAGTGGACAGAGCATTAGTCGGCATTATCATTAATCAGCATCGGAATCCTTCGACACATCAAATGATGTACAGTTTCGCAATCACTTGGAAGGGAAGTCTGAATTGGCCTCTAAAATCACATGGAGTACTGTTTCACTTATATCTGGACCGGGGCACCCCAATGCGAGCTCCTTTCACTTAGCCGCATCCAGCGAAGAGTGGCTCAAATAGTTGACAACCGAATTCTTTCTGACAAGTGAACTGGATTGGAAGAAATGTAATGATTTCTGTCGCGTTTAACAGGGAGTGCTTAGGTAAAAATTATTCGGATTAATTCCAGGCGTCAAATTCCACCAACACACATATTCGTGAGCTGGGCAGGCACAGACAGTACAGGCCGATGGGACGCATATTCATAGTTAGCCTAGGGCTGTCAGAACTCTAAATGAAGCATTGAATCTATGTATAAATAGTTATATGTCTACTTAATTAATAATTCTACTAAGATTATTATCAAAGAATAAAGAAACTAACTACAGTATTTTTATTTAAAATAATTGTCAGGTTATCTTTTATTATTAATCTATGTAAGTACATTCCACTCCTGGTCACAGGCCTTCTCTCTGAAAGGGTATTGAGTTTTATGACAACAAAGTGTTCAGCTCACTGCCTTGATGGGTTATTCACCCTAAGAAATCCACCCTAGGGTGGATACTCGGAAATGCGTGTTCGTTTATCCAACCTAGGCGGGGTGGATAATCGGAATTCACTTTCTGATTGTTGTTCCGCCATTCCACCCTAAGTACGGTTCAACAGAAATATATTTATACTTTAACATATTGTTGATTATTTTTTAATAACCACAAACTTAAACAAAAATCATATTACGTATTGCATTTAATCCAAATTAAACTTCATTGATTTAAAAATAATAATAAGTTTTATAAATACTGATATATGTACAGGAAATGACCAAAACTAATTTCATTCTTGAGTAGACGTAATTGTACATCCTTAATAAATTCGTCTCTCAATAAAAGACATTTTAACTATTTCAAAAACTGTGTTGACATAATTAACAATATATTTATCTAATTTAAATACCTACTTCAGTAAAATATAATTGAAATTAATTGCAGTAAAACATTTCTTTCATCATGAGATTTCTCTAAAATGACGTAAATTAAGTCACATTAAATGATATTTAATTAAGTAATTAAAAGTATTTCAGTTTTGACCTTTAAACAAGAAGTATGTATATATTTTTATAAGTATGCTAATGTCTACTAAGTAATTTTGGGCCAGTTTCTATCATGTTTTTATAAACGACTGTACAGCGCGAGGTCACATCAGAAGAAAAATAAGTGGACAATGTGACAATGCAGTGAACTCATGCATGTATGTCAGTTTATTTTATGCTGACTTCATACAAAGTGCTGTGTTGCAAAAATATTGCCCTTTCTTTTGAGTTTAGCCGTAGTCATGTAAAAAGTTGATTGCGCAATAATTAAAAATAAGTCGCTATTAAAAAAAAATCCGTGATGCATAAAGCATCAATTCGTGCGATTATTTAGTATTGCGATGCAAACCTAATTAATATTTTATGCAAAGACATCGCACACATGATGTATGAATATCTGTGATTTTTGTCAGTTAAGGGAAATCCCCCAAAAGTAAGACATTGACAAACCACATGTAACCTAACCTTTGTAACGTACCAATAATATAAAGCATGATATCCAAAGCTATTATCAAGGAATCAAAATGTATCGCCCATAGATTATAGCTATTATGTTTTGCAGGAGGGGATATAAGACATATAATTATATGCCTAAGGAAAAAGAAGTCATTGAATTTTTGATTCACACGGTAAAAATTACACTCGCTTATGGCGTTTTCATTTTACTTCTTTGATATTCAAATCATGTCCCGAATTGTAGTCTCGAAATGTTGACAACCTAAGCAGCACGTGTCGTTTCTACAGGTCAAATTTTATGCATTTCAACAATATGTATGGTGTATGCGATCCATGCTATGAACGAGGCCATGGTGTTTTATGTGAGGGCCTATTGTGTTATATTATATTTGGTAAGCAGACATTTAACGGAACCTACCAAATGTTACTCGTGAAACAATATTAATTATTCAACTTAACTGCAGTGTGAAACGTGCTTTGTGTTTTTCTTAGTATATTTATATTTTTTTGTAATTGAGCAGAATTTATTTCATTTCTTTAAACGTTCCATTGTCAATATCAGTCATTAGAAATCTATTAAAAATGGATGTAGCTAAAACTTTCTGGTTTGCAGCCACATTACGGAAATTTAGTTTATATTTGCAGAACATCCTAAGGATATGTGCTAGTCTGAGGAATAAAAAATAATTCTTATATAAATAGCGTGACACATTCTTACCTCTCCCTATCTCGATTACACTCTTCAAAATGATTGTTAGATAAAGTTTTGACTACACTTACAAATGGTTTGGAAATACTAAACATTACGATATGCTGGTGTATTTATTTACAAAAAAATGCCAATAATGCATATACTTACCCTTGACTAGTCCTACTTAGCTTACAATGCTTGTGCTTGTGTTTACGAAAGTAGTAGAATGGCGAAAGAATAGTAGAATGAATTCATACCTCGACTCATTATAATTATAATCATTAACAAATTCCTGGCCATGGATTGATCAAATACTAATATTTAAAGAATGATTATAGAAATTCCGTTCCACCATCGTTTCCTTTTCATTTATTTGTACGGTTAAGTACTAAATAAGCTGCTGCTAAAGTTACTTAATAAAACATTTTCATCTTACAAGTAGAACACAATTGTAATTTTAACACGATGTTGCCTCGGCGTAAAATAGATTGCCGCATGCGGCTTATAGCCGCAAATGTTTCCATTTATAGTTTGTATTTGTAGCATATCACAAGACGCAATAATATGTGGTCACAATGTCGCATGTTGTTGCTTCAGCATAAACTAGGCATTGGGCTTACGTGGTTTCTCACGGCGCACTTGACTGTTTTAAAAAGAAAACAATAGAAGTAAGGAAGCAGTGAAATTTCTGATAATGATTAGAACATTTTACACGATTAACTTATAACATATTTAACTTATACACATTATACATAACGTAATACAATTTTGATTTTTGCACAAAGGTACATAAGGATGTGACTTGTATTTTCGACTGGAGTCGATCGTATGGCTTAACTGTGAAGTCTTTGAAATCCTAAGCCTTCAAATGTTAATTACAACCTGTTACATTTAACGGTGTCCATATCCCTTATAATGACGTTGTAAATTTAGGTAACTTTTTGGATTCCAGTCTTTCTTGAACATCTCAAATTAATGTCGTGAGCCGTAAACTACCTTTACTCATTTCCACTGCAATAACTCTTGTACAATCTTTCTTCATAAACCTAGTTTCGGAATACCGCTCTAAACTCTAGTGGCTCCCAATCTGGCTCCCTTTGCTGCGTCTTATTTAATATATCAAGTCCTCCATATCTAATAGAACGTTTTAAATTGCTCAGCTCCTGTCATAGTTTTTCATAAAGTCCAAGGAAGTTTTTCCCTCCAATGTCCTGTTAACATTTTATGTTAAATCATATTCTGTTCTGTCTTTGGAACTCCTTACCTCTTTCAATTAAAAGTGCTCAACCTTACATCTGTTCAAGAAACCAGTTAAGGAACACTATTTGTCTTCTTAAACCCCTCTCTCTTCCTCTTTTTATTTAAGGTCTTTAATCTACCTAAAGTATGTTGTCTTTTTGGTGCAAAAGCTGGTATCCTTTCTTATTTTAGTGCACACTACCCGTTAATCTTTTCCTTATTTTTATTTAATTCTATTTCTGGGTTGTCTGGATGAGATTGCGATGTAGCAATGAGACCGGCTTTTGTTTTTCCCTCAATATTAGTTTATTTTTGTTATTTTTATCTTTCTTGGGTGTATAGTAAAGAGTATTTTGTTGTAAAGTTACTAGTCCGCAACCGCGCAACCAAAAAGCTTGCGGAATGCGCTGAATGCATGGTGAAGCATTCAAAAATTTGATGGATTAATAAATCTTAAGCTATTAGTATTATAACTGTCAACTACTAGCATGTTGTACACGCCACGTTACCTGGATTGTTCATTGCAGAGATGAGGTGGTTCGTCTGAAGCATCCTTGCAGGAGATGATTGCGTTGCAAAACTCGTACTCTGGTAGACATTCGCCAGATCCGCATCTAAATGTATGCCTCGGGCAGCTGAAAACGATAAACAAGTAACATTTTTTAAACATATTTAAATATATTCATTGATTAATTAAACATATTTAAAGAAGAAGAAAATTTATTTGGCAATTAACGCAAATCTTCCGTAAGATGACAAAGGCTGATGATAAAAAAGGAAAAAGCCTTCGTATAATGATTTCTTAAATTTACGCGAACATTACACATTGAATAAACAATATATACGTATATTATCGTGTTTAATTAACTTATTTTTAATTCCCGACGTTTCTGCTGCTTTACAGCACCCATAGTCACGGGGGGACTAAAATGTTTGCCGTCCCAATGTCATAGTTAGCCCGGATACCTTTAGTTTTTGAATATAATTTTTGGTCCGATCGAACGAACAGAACGAACTTACAGTATCTAGAAGTTGACTTGAAGTACTGACGCTCCGGGAAGTCTGTAGTCTCCGAAAGAAGTTCAAGATCGTCTCCACCATTACATCAGTTTTGATGAACCACAAATCCTCGCAAAAGAACACCGATTATTACCAAGGATGATACGCGAGGCTATTGAAATTAAAAAATATCATAATTCCAATAGAGAAGATGGATGGTGCTGCTGTCTGCTTGGGATTCTATAATTAACAAAATTAAATACTAAACCAAGCATACCAGTGCAAGTCTGCAAGATACCGTAAGCTCGTTCTGCGTAGATCGAACCAAAAATTATATGTATATTATTCAAAAACTGAAGGTAGCCGGGCTATGACATTGGGGGGACATCAAACATATCAGTCCCCCTCCCCCTCCGTGACCATGGGACCGAAACGTCGGGAATAAAAAATAAGTTAAAATAATTTAATTAAACGCGATAAAATTCGTATAAATAGTTTTATTCAAAGCCTTCGTTTGAATTTGGTAGCAGAGGGATGTTGCGTAGGGTATTTTTCTTTTTCGAAACTTTTCGCTTCGCTTTTTCGTTAACTGATGGGCGCTACAAGCACAGAACTTATTTTTCGATGTAGCAGTGTGCACTAATACTGCTACAAGGTTTTATATAAGGGTCACAAACGAGCACAGTCCACCTGGTGGTAAGTGCATTTCCCATAGAAATCTACATCTATTGTCGATGAAAAATCAAGATGCGAATTCGCTGTTACTTCTGAGAACTAAGATAAAATGCCTTATTACCAAAAAAAAAGGTACTCTGGTTTTTTAATATGCTGGTATTCCGCGTAGACGTGGTCCTTGTTCTTCCCAGTCGAGTCATTTCGTATTGCAGCCTAATACAGCCAGATCTACCTACGCTATACATGGTAGAGCCGCGCTGCAGCTATATTATAGTTGTAGCACGAATGGGTCGGCTCGACCGGGGAAGGACCACGCTCACAGAATACCAGCGTAAAATAGCAGCTTAATACTGCTGTGTTTCGTATGGTGAGTGTAGAGAACCGGAGACCCGTTTTATTGGAATCGAGGCATTCCATCTTAGTCCTCAGGGGTGACAACGAATCTGCCTTTTGACTCTTCATCGAGGTAAAATGTCTATGCGTCTATGGGCCACAGCATCCACTTCCCATCAGGTGGACTGTGTGCTCGTTTGTCACGCTTATTCTATGAAAAAATATAAAAACATCTCGAATAGGAAAAGAGGTGACAGAGGTAAATGAAACAGGGTACAACACCTTCCTTATAACGACTTAAAAATAATAAACAAATCTATAGTTGCCAACCCGAGTACCTGCCGCGGCAGCTATGGCAAATATTCTCAAAAATGAGACGATCTATGGGGGTGGCCTATGTTTAACTGTGCAAATTCGATAGGTTGCAATGAATTAATGAAATTAACAGAATTTTACATACCCCCTACGCCTGGTAGCGCGGCAGTTGCGCTCGTCCTCGCCGGCGGGACACTGCGGCGTGCCGTCGCAGCGCGCCGCCCGCGACACGCAGCGCGAGCCCGCCCCGCCGCACCGGAACGCGTGCATCGGACATCGCTCGCCGGTTCCATCTATACCACATATAAAACCATAGATAATTTTTTTAGTTTTCCCTGTTATGACACCCGGAACATTATTAATAAATAAAACATTGATAATCATGCTTAGAATAATGTAACAATAACCAGAATATTCAAGAGGCTTAAACATAAAAAATATTTTTGAATCAATAAAATAAAGCTGCATACAAAATTTTTTTGTCTCCTTACAGGACGAAAAAATGCAACAAATAAAATAATATAGCATTATGATTTTAAAATTGTAGTTTACTTTGAAAGCAATAAAGATGCCGTGTAATAATGTATAAATTATTGCAATAATACAATGCTAGTGGAAAAAATCTTATTCTTATTTGTGTCTCCAAAAGTTATCCAGTGTGTTATTCCGATTCGATATGAGCTAGATTTTTTGTTTTCAACATTCAGTTGTTTTCAACTGAATGTTGAAAACAATGATGAATGAATAAAATAAATAATGAAATTTACCTAATTTCGATGAGGCAGCGCCGAAGGCTTACTATCAAACGTCAGTTTTGAGATATTTTTTTTCATTTGAAGTCGTGACCGTAAACAATTGGAAATTCCATAATTTAGAGCACAAATTTCGGGCAGTATATCTGTGAATTCTATGTGAGAAGTAAAAAGATATCGTTTACTACGTTCCTAATTCGAAATTTATAGTCAATTACCAGAGTATGTCAAGTTTTATTAAGTAAATCACGCATGATTTATGACCGGTATTCATTGTTGAGTTTTGAATTTTCGAGTGTGTTTGTTCCAGTTCGTTACGTGTATTATGGTGTTTGTTATGTCACACACTGGAATGTTATAAATGAGGCTGTTCACATAACTTAACTGACTACGGCGAAATGAAAAAGGTGTAATGTTATTCTGACTTACCTACATAAGAGTGGACTATACTATTATGATTTATTATTACTAGTGGTCCCTCAGTAGTCGAACTAGGTCCGTTTTTAATAAAGAGGTTTGAAAAAATCAGAGTGGAAAAGTTGACGGTCTCCTATACACTTAAAAAAAAATTAAATAAGCTTTTGTTAAATTTTATTAATTGGAAAAATATAAATAAGTTATTATTAAAAACACATTTTTTAATGTGGCTTTATTAAATTTGTATGCTGAGTTTATTAGAAAAACACAAAAAGTTTTTTTTAAATCATTACTTATTAAATTAATACTATATAATTCGCCTATTGATTACATTAAAAAGAAACACATTTTTAAATTTCATTTTCTTCTTAAATATGGCTCTGTCCGAACGCGAAGTGGCAAATGGGATAGCCCTTATAATAAAAAGAAACGGTAAAACAAAATTCCGTGATAAATGGTAATAATTACAGTATCTGTACTAATTGTAAATTGTATACACATAATTGTTAAATTCCTTATGTTTCTTTTATGAATAATACCTACTTTGATTAGTACCTACTGTTTTTGTAAGCACATTATTTTGTTAAAGGCTTTAATTCCACTGTGTTGTGTTATTTTGGTGTTTAATTTCGCAAACATGCAAGCTATGCGTAGTCTGAGATTCGTTTTTGATGATCTAATCTAATTTTATGAAATATTGATAATATTTTAAAATGGATTTTACTTGAACCTATTTGCAAGTGAACATTGACCTTTATATTATTCCAGTACGTTATTGTGTTACCGTGTGTTATATCTTTCAGTGCGTTATTTACACTTTTTTACGACCTTACCCATATAAGGTAATCCGAAGTATACTATAGTACGTGAAGGTAATATAGTTACTTTTTTATAACTCAAAAACTACAACCTTGTTTGCATAGAAGATACGATAGTTCTATATATCTATACCTGATTGTAAGTGGCCACTGCAGACCCCATGAACTGACAAATCTGCCATCTTAAAACGAAGAAGACTACACATTTTATATACGTGATAGAGCCATGCTGCAGTTATATTAGTAGTATAGTTGTAGCACGAATGGGTCGACTCGACCGGGGAAGGACCACGCTCTCACAGAATACCAGGTAAAATAGTAGCTTAATGCTGCTGTGTTTCGTATGGTGAATGTGGAGAACCGGAGACCCTTTTTATTGGAAACGAGGCATTCCATCTTAGTCCTCACGGGTGACAACGCATCTGCATTTTGATTTTTAATGGAGGATAGATGTAGATGTCTATGGGCCGCAGCAACCACTTACCATCAGGTGGACTGTGTGCTCATTTGTCACCCAATTCTATAAAAAAAAAACAAGCACAAAAATCGTAATAATATTCTCTTCTTATTATGATTTCTGTGGAAACAAGCTTGGGCAATAACTAGAAACACTGAAAAATCTGCTTAAAAAAACTAATTATGTATACTAAATACTAAAATCAACAAAAATATTTACTATAATATCAACTGTTAAAATGGCGTCAATAAAGCAGCGTCTTTTTGACCCTTTATTATTTGATTAACTGATGATTATATATAATTATATATATATATATATATATATATATATATATATGTAATATTACCTACTAGATGTTTCCCGCGACTTCGCCCGCGTGGAAATTGTTGCGACTGTGTTTTATTTATTTTTGTGCGGAACCCCTAATTCTATTTCTAAAATAATATCCTTATAATATCAGCTATCTGCAATTGAAAGTCCCGTTAAAATCAGACAGTTAAAAAAAAGACAGAAAGATATTTTTTTTTGTTATAAGTACCGTATACACTTTCATATAAATTTAGTGGTGGAGTCTTACTCCACCACCATTTGGCATAGTAGCGATTTCATCGCCACCTTTCGTCCCTTGGGTGCCAAAGACGCCAAGCTATGGGAAATGCCAGAAATTACTTATGGCTTCCGATAGAGGGAGGTATAAACATTTCGCTTACGCCATACGTTAAATACTAAAGACGACGACTCGTAGCGTCAAAGGCGAAAATCTTTGTTTCGTACAAGTTTCAAATCGAGGAGGGATTAGAACTCGTAGTCCACAGCTTCAAAGTCACACGGTTAACAACTGCGTTACCGAGTCGAGTCTCGTGAACATTACGAAATATTCTATTTCTTATACAATAAATATAAAATGCACAGTAAGTCATTAGTCATTACATACAGAAGTCATAGTCACACTTGAAGGGAAATTGGGACCAGCATTTAAAACGAAAGTAGAGAGAGTGGGTTGGTGCAATGAAATGAATCAGCGCATACATGGTTACTGACCTTTACCAGTACCATAGCATCTTTCGTCGGATCCATCAGGGCAGTCCTTGCGGCCGTCACACACGAAGTACCAACTGATACACGTCCCAGTGGAACGACACTAAAACAAATAGTAAATAAAGTCAAGAGGAATTAAAAAAATAACGATTTATATTATAATGTTGCTATAACACTTTTTGTAAATTTTAGAATATAGTTCATAAAAGATAGCTTGATCTCTGCGACAGCTGTCAGTAAAATCACGCCTATGAAGTCCTGAATTTCTTAGTAGTACAGACACACTGACCTCTATATATACAAGTACGCTGTATATATAGAGGTCAGTGTACAGACAGTACCTGTCAATGTCATACTTTATGGGCATGCCTACTTAATTAGTGCCCATTATATTAATGCCCATAAAGTCTGAAATTGACTGGTACTGTCTGTACTACTAAGAAATTCAGGACTTCATAGGCGTGATTTTTACTGACAGCTGTCGCAGAGATCAAGCTATCTTTTATGAACCATAGTGAAGGCGTACCAAACTGACATAGTACAGTGTGTCCGGTAGGAAAGTTCATTTTTGATTTAAGAAAAAGAATACTAAGTTAATGAATACAAAATATTTATTAATATGACAATATTAAAAAACTCGGTGGGTTTTATTTTTTTGAATATCATTTCCTCCAAATGTTTACCATCTCTTCGTACACATTCTTCTAATCAGACTCGTAAATTTTCAAACACTTCTTGCAGAGTTGCGGGGAGATATTGTTTATTTCGTGCCGGATATTTTCTTTCAGCGTCGCTAGTGTTCATGGTTTGTTTGAATAAACTTTTGATTTTAGATGACCACAGAAAATAATCACATGGTTTGAGGTCGAGCGAACTGGGTGGCCAGCAGATGTCTCCAAACCTCGATACCATTTTTTTGTGGAAAAAGTGACTTTACCGTGTCCATCGACTCTCTGGAGGTATGGGAAGTGGCTCCAGTCTGTTGAAACAATGTGTTTCTGTTAAAACGGCGTTCTGTTCTTACAATAGGAGCAAAAAAATTGTCGATCATGTTCTTATATCGCTCCGAATTTACCGTCTTTTACCGTCGTTCATGACCGTACCCATTCTCAAAAAAAAACGGCCCAATAACCCCACTAGAGGTTATGGCGCACCAAACAGTCACCTTTGGATTATGTAACTGTCGTAGGTGCCTCTCTTTTGGGTTCGTTGGTGCCCAATATCTGTAATTATGTTTATTGACGTAGCTCTCCAACTGAAAATGGGCCTAATAGTTAAAAACAACGTTATTGAGTCTACGTTGTGTAGGAAAATCTTCCAACATCTTTTCAGCACAAGATTTCCGTAATAAGTAATCACTTTTTTTAAAAATCTTGCATTAACTGTATTTTATAGGGATGAAGCATTATATAGGGAAAAATGCATTTTTTCCTAACTATGACGTGAACTGTTGATTTAAGGGTTTCCTGAAGCAGCCGAATGCTTTCGTAAAGAACACCGCGAATTTGCAAGGACCGAATCACTTACTCGGCGCGCATTTTCCTGGGTTGATCCCATTAATCAACACATTCCAGGCCGTACACCCACTGTGTGCGGCCTGGAATGTGTTGATTAATGAAAGAACTCGTTTCACGAAACTACTTAATCCACTTAATGATTTCTTAAATTTACGCGAACACTACACATTGAATAAAACTAAATTTTCGGATTATTTCGCGTTTATTTAACTGATTTTACTTATTTTTAATTCCCTTCACAATTCACCTTCACAATTTTACCATCTGACAAAGTAACTGCATTTTTAAACCAACTTAACTCTATAAACTCTAAAATACAATTCACGTGTTTCAGATGTTTTAGTCATTCGAAATCCTGATAACACTATTGATCACACTGTGTATAGAAAAAAGACCCATACCAACCGATATTTAAATGGTGAATCTCACCATCATCCTTCACAGTTAGCTACCGTGGGTAAATCTTTGTTTCAGAGAGCACGAGGGATCTGTGACAGAAAATATCTGGCCGCCGAGCTGCAGCATGTCAAGCAAGTGTTGCAAGACAACAAGCTTCGGATCCCGCGCCTACGTCACAGTGACCGAGTGAAGCCGGCCACAATCGAGCGTGTACCTGCTGTACTACCATATTTCAGAGGAGTCACAGACAAGGTTGGCTACATCTTGAAGCAAGCTTCCATTAAAACATACTACAAGCCGCCGAAGAAGATTAGTCAATTTTTACCATCCGTCAAGTGTAATATCCCTCTATAAGAGGCAGGAGTGTACAAGTTAGATTGTGAATGTGGTCTCTCTTACATAGGTCAAACAAAAAGATCCATAAAAACCCGCGTGAAAGAATATATAGCTGACGTGAAGCACCGACGCTCCGGGAAGTCTGCAGTCTGTGAACATGTTCAAGATCGTCCCCACCATTACATCAGATTTGATAAACCACAAATCTTCGCAAAAGAACACCGATTCCTACCAAGGATGATACGCGAGGCTATTGAAATTAAAAACATCCTAATTTCAATAGAGAAGATGTTTGGGTGCTGCCATCTGCTTGGGATCCTATAATTAACAAAATCAAACTCAAACCCAAGCATACCACTGCAAGACTTCAAGATACTGTAAGTTCGTTTTGAGTAAATCGGACCAAAAATTAATATTCAAAAAAATGAACGTAGCCGGTCTAACAATGACATTGGGACGTCAAACATCTCAGTCCCCCCCCGTGACCATGGTTGCTGTAAAGCATCCGAAACGTCGGGAATTAAAAATAAGTAAAATCTGTAAAATAAACGCGATATAATCCGGAAAATTTAGTTTTATTCAATACTTAATCCACTTTTTCAAAAGGTTTACATTTGGGGCGTATCTTGGTCGGCGAATATTGTACTGAGAACAAAATATCCGAAGTGCAGCAGCGCACGAGTCACCACTCTTAAAGTAAGCTTCGACAGCAAAACCACGTTGTGCTACAGTCGAACGCTCCATCGGGAACGCCTGACGCGTCGATTGAGGCTTTTCCCACTTCATCGCGCCAACCGTTGCTGTGTAATTCAAATTTGAAAATTGAACTTTCCTACTGGACACCCTGTACCTATCTATCGATATATTAAAATACTTTTGCATAAATCTATTATTAATAATAAAATATTTATCAAAATATGTTTATTATTATAACATTGCTGTTCAATTAACTTCAATAGTAATCGCGTATATTAACTTTTTTATATACCCGACGTTTCGAGCACTTTACAGCACCCATGGTCACGGGGGAGACTGACATGTTCAACGTCTAGATGTAATAGTTTACCGCGGTTACCATAGATTAAAATTATTAATTTTTGTTCCGATTTATGCAGTATGAGCTTATAATATCTTGAAGTCTTGCAGTTGTATGCTTGAGTTGGGAATTAATTTTATAAATTATAGGATCCCAAGTTATAAAGTGCTCGAAACGTCGGGTATATAAAAGTTAATATACGTGTTAAAATCCGTAAAAATCAGTATTTTTTAAATTATTTATTTTTATTTATTGGTTTTATTTCAGAATGTTATAAACACTATCATAACGACCTGTATCATAAAGTCTTGTATCATGGGGATATAAAAACTTTCTCTACAAAACCTTTTATAAAAAAGCCTTTTCCTCTTAAAGATCCGTCTTAGTAGTCTCTTACCTAACTATGCCGCCCAAAGGCAGTGTATGCACTTTTCTCTTACAGTCTGAAGGGTACAGAAAGGCAGCATTAAAAGTTGTAAGGAATTCTATTTTGGTGCTCGGAGTTGACAACGCGCTTGTAGTCTTTTTATTTGAAGATGATTGAAGACTCCCTTCGGCTACAGAAGGTAGTTACCATCAGGTGGACTGTAAGTTGATTTGTCACTAGAAATTTATAAGTAGAAAGTTTGTTATTAATTTTTAATACACGAAATTTATTTTTCAAACCGTGTTTATCTCTTTACCTGAAATGTTCCTGGCAAGCATCCCCTGTTGCGTGCTGAACAAGCCGACGTGGAGTTGGTGCGGTACGCGCAGTCACATCGTTTATTAAAACATCGTGAATAGGGATCCACCTGGTGGCATTGCGAATCTTTTAAGCAAGGCATTCCGAGTGACGCTGGACCAAGACTGAACACTGGAGATACATCCGCACGAATACGATGTTTATCTAAAACATTTGACGAAATCACTTTGTGCTCTATAAATATTTTACAACTTATAATGTAATCCAGAGCCGTGGTAGCTGAGCGCTAACCATGCTCGCTGTGAATTTCACAGTACGCGAGCAACCCGGGTTTGATTCCCGCCGGCACCAATGACATTGTTACTTGCAATTTTAAGTGCTGATTTACCACGTGCTCGGCGGAGACGGAAAACATCGTGAGGAAACCTGCATGTCTGAGAAATAAAAAATATTTCAAAGACATGCAAGTTCGTCAACATGAATTGGGGCAACGCGATGTACATTTCCTTGCCCTAAAACCCTCTCAGTCATGAGAGGAGGCCTGTGCCCAGTAGTGGGACGTATATAGGCTGTAACTTTAACTAACTTTAATTTTTCCGGACCCATACGACCTTGGAACCTTCAAGAAAAGAGCTCACTCCTTTCTAAAGGGCCGGCAATGCACCTGCAATTCTCCTGGTGTTGCGGTTGATCATGGGCGGCGGTGGTCACTTAACATCAGGTAAGCCTCATGCTCGTTTGCCCTCTCTTCTATAAAAAAAAAAACTTTGTCATGAGCGCTTCGTACCCACATTTACGTAAAAAAAGCATATGAAGTGACGCTGAAACCAAGCCAAAAACAAACTCTACCTTTTGAGCACACACGTGCATTATAAATAATTTGCAACCTTTACGGGTACAAGGTTTCACGGGCTGTTAAAGATAGAAAGAAGGTAGATGTATGCGAGAGTGCATTTCAGAAGTTGAGCATGGTTTCGGCGTCCCTAATATATAATATAATCACTAACAAATGTAATAAATAATGTAAGCAGCGTTTCGTCTATTTTTCCTCATTGGTCTGGGAATATAATACAAATTACAAACCTTTTGAAGATGGTTTCTTTTGGTGACCGCTTTTGTATGGCTTATTCCCTATATTTTGTTGGTCTTTACTTCCTACAGTTTTTTTATTGGTTTTCTTTTCTGTGGATGGTTGGGTTACTACTCTGTACACGGGTTGATCGTTTGCGTGTAAATTAGCAGTCATTTCTTCGACACGTATCAATTCATTTTGTTCACCGTCTTTCTTATTCGCGGGTGGAAGGCGTTTTGCGGGCTCGAGTGTTGGAACTTTCATAACGGCTTGCATTAATGGACTGTCTTCTTGTGTACTTAGAACATCATTTTTACTTGTGAACATCGGTAATTTACTCGGCTCTGTATCGTCTGTGTCGATTAAGACATTTTGAAGTCCAAAAGGATCTTTTGAGGCTGGGTTAAGGTAGGTGGGAAGTTTGTTTTCTTTGTGAGGTATCGTTGCATTAGCTGATTCTAAGACAGCTGCATCTTGTTCAGCAATTACTGCTTCCGTCGAATATAATGCGGATTTCTGAGAAATGCATCTATCACCAGTTTGTCGGAAAAGACTGTTGCATGCGCATCTCCCGAAAAGATTTGCAATCACAAATTCGCAGTGACTCTCCTTATCCCATAAACGACAATGTTCGTTACTATAGCATACGTGGCTCGGTGGGGCAGCTGAAACATTGTAAATTAAAATGGACTCCATGTTAATATCAAATAGGTAGGTACCTAATAGTCCACTAAATATAGGGGATTTGTTGGCTCTGTGATCATTGATAGAAGGAGAAGGTACTCTAGATACGATTTTAATAACTTAACTGGTAGTAATACATGTTAAGTTATTAAAATCGTATTTAGAGTATTAGTACTATTTAATGTCTGTTTTATTTTTAGGATCGTTTATGACAAAAATAAAAGCGAGCTTGTAACTAACTACTAATGTTCATTGTCATTTTGATGTTTATAGTAACCCGAAAGTAAGCGTTCACATAACAGTATCATTTTAAGTTATAACACATAATGGTAACATAATTGGCTATTATATGTTAATCTCGCATAATAAAGCTCATTACGCAAAGCTCGCTATTAAGTTGCTTGCCAACAAGTAAACGTATGTTGACTCAAATTATTCCAATTAAATTTTATTGCATGATATATTTTTTAATTAATCTTAAGTGACCAACGAAGTTACGTACCAAACGAACTGACGTAAGTTTGTTAGTGCTAGTGCAGCTCATTGACGTACACTTGCAATCAACTTCAAATGAAGTACAGCAAGTACGGCTAGAGATGCGTTGTCACCTGTGAGGATGAAGGTGAAACTTGTTCTCTATACCAATCAAAACGGAACACATTAGTGCATGCACTGTTGTTTATGTGGTACCTACTCAGGTGGTCCCGTGGGCATAAAAGTAGTCTTATTACCTATTAAATATCATGTAATATATTCAAATAAGCATTTTTGTACACCTTTTATATTCTTTGAAATAATAAAATAAGAGTCTAATAGACGACATACACGGGCAGTTCAACTGATCATTCCAACTGATCAGTTCAAACTAGGACTGTTGATATTTTTTAAAATATCGGATTTTCGATATATCGATGATTATAAATATATCAATAACGGTGTTCTGTATATAAGTTTATTTATCGATAAGTCAAAAATCTGTGGAATGATCAGTTGAACTGACCGTGTGTGTCGTTCATAACAGCAGCAGCCATTTTAAATTAAATGTCACTATATCACTATAAATTGAAGATAAGTACATACACGTAAGTCATACACGCAGATGATCTTGATAATCTTTATTTTCATATATACTTATATCAGTTAATAATATGCCTATTAATTTATAAACCACACAAGATTTTTTTTAAATCTTAATACATGAAAAAATAGTATCCATTGCCGAACTAGACTAAAACCTGTGTGAAAATCTACAGAAAAGAGAAAACGTAACAATGTAGATTCTTACAATACTTTATACTAGCACTGATTTGTTTACTACTAATCTAGATTCCAAAACGTCGTGTTATTGCTTCATGTAAGTCTTACTTTTCTCGTCGAATTGAATGTAAGAATTGTCCAACTAACTTAACTGTAAGTTAGTTGGACAATTCTCACAATATAATATCATGATAAAAGTGTTTTGGTTGATAATAAGAACGGTTCACACGAGCCGGCGTCAGAGCAGATTCATCAGTACAATAACAACAATATTTTTTTTCTCACAAACACGCAGCAATAAACGCGGAAATGATTAACATTAGGCGGCGTTTTCGTTATTGGAGAAAATGTTTAAGTGCTTGTTACGAAACTTACAGATCAATTTAGAAATACGTGATGACAATCACTATCAGTAATACGAAGTGGATTACGCTTTGAATCATATGATTTAAAAATGACAAAAGATAGAAAAGGGTGAAGTATTTATGGAATTTATTTTTTAAATCCTGAAGAACCTTGTGCAAGCTCCACGTGCATTGCAATTGCATTGTTATTGGTTTCTCCCCGGTTTTCGAAAATCGGGGTTTCATCAGATCTCGACGTTTTGAGGTCCTAGGAAGTTATTCAGACTATTCCTACGAGGATGTCACTTTGTCACGTATGTAAGAGGATGTGTGTGTGTGTGTGTGTGTGTGTGTGTGTGTGTGTGTGTGTGCGCGCCGTGTATGTGTGTGTGTGTGTGTGTGTGTGTGTGTGTGTGTGTGTGTGTGTGTGTGTTACCTATTGTTTGTGTGTATGTGTGCGTGTGCGTGTGCGTGTGCGAGTGCGTGTGCGTGTGCGTGTGCGTGTGCGTGTGCGTGCGCGTGTGCGTGTGCGTGTGCGTGTGCGTGTGCGTGTGCGTGTGCGTGTGCGTGTGCGTGTGCGTGTGTGTGTGCGTGTGTGTGTGTGTGTGTGCGTGTGTGAGAGCGTGCGCACGCGCACGCCCATGACACCACTCTGTGCGCTTATTATTGTTCTTAAAATACTCCGATTGCCACAAATTACATCAAAATCAGTTGATCCGTTAGAAAGTTATTGTTGCCAAAAAAATCTAAAAAAGTGTTTTTTTCATAACTGGTGCGGGTTTCGAGGCTTTGAGAGTGAACATAGCGGAAAGTTCCTGGGATGGCCTGCCGGGTCAACAGATTTTTTTAATTTATGTTATAAGAGAATTTTCAACTTAAATTACGTAAAATATTAAAAGATACGATAAAAATTAACAATTTTTTTATCGTTTACTCATTCATTTAGTATAGCCTGTCAAAGTCTATTACTTAACACAGACATCCTTCATAGGTGTCACGCTTGTCGGGCTGGTTAGGAACCTCAGTTTTTTTTATAGTTGTAAGCAAGGAGATGCTGCTACCGATATCTTGTGTCATTTCCCTGTCGCCTCTTACGTCACCCGCTGGTTGATATGGGAAGTAGATTTTCTTAGGACACCATGTACACGGCCATAAAAATATTAAAGCTAATATTAAGATTTCTAATTACTTTTACGCTTCGTGTAACACTACGCAGTATTACGAGCATACTTCATAAACAGAAACATCGTATAGATAGCGCACAATCACAAGTAATGTATCATGCAACAGGTGTATTGAATTCATGCAAATTATTACATTTTAACATAATAACGAGGCAATCAATATGTATGCTATGTAATATATGTAATATGTACACTTACGAGAAAGACATGTATGTTTTCTGAATTGCAAATGTCCGTCCGTGCATCGGCAAACACCTTCCAAGCAGGCGCTGAATGCCACTTTAAGGGTGCACTGTTCTGATACCACGCATTCGGATCCTAAAAGTGTAGCTGAAACAAAAAAAAAACAAAATTTAATTAATAATCTAAAGAATATTCTTCACCTTTAGCTGTGTGATACAGCCTATGAACTCTTCTATTGTCGCAACATCAAGTCTGATCTTTTATACAACTTTCTGTTGTCGTTCTGGATATTTTACACATTACATTATACCTTCCATCATTAATTATATATTTTACATCTGGTATTAGATATAAAATGGTATGCCGTCATTTATCACAGGCTAAAAGGTATATAATATGGTTCTCGGCTTCCTGTAGTCGTCTCTTTCGAAATAGGCGAAATCGGGTGACGGATGAAATCCTACCTAAATCGAATGAGGTTAACTTTTAGTAGCGGCAAAGGTAATCCATCCACTACTCCATATAATTTCATTGGCGTCGTAAGAAGCGACAGAGGGAAATCGAAACAATAGCAACTTCCTGATAACGGAATAAAATAATAAAAATCACTGCGATTGCCAACCCGTCTGCCAAGCGTAGCGGATTTGGCAATTATCCCTATCTATTGGGGAGGCCTATGTTCAGCAGTTGATTCTTGATAGGTTGTAATGTTTATGATGATAATGAATATTAAATTCCGATAGATAGCGGTGTACCCATCTCGCTTACACCAGATGTAAAACGTTCTGGGACCAGTGACAATGGGTCAAAGGTGTAAGACGTATTGCTATCACTAATCCGCCAAGCGTGGCGATAAAGGTAAATCCTCTTGAACGGATGAAGCTTAGTGCTAATGATGAAGAAGAAAAACAATACCATTAAATGTGATTGTAATGTAAAATAAACCTGAAGTGTGTGTAAGGTAAAATAAAGCAGAAAAAAAGGTGGGTTGACTGGTAGAGAATGCCTTTAGACATTAGGTCCGCCCTTTGTATCATTTTTTTCTAAGCGGGACGCAATAAGGATTTTAAAATAAAAAATAAATAAATCCTCTAAGAAATGATAGGAGTCTGTGCCCGACAGTGGGACGTATGTAAACTGTAATATCAACTTTAACTTAACTTTTAAGGTAAAATGTTAATTCTTCAATAGACAATCATTCTTGTAAGCGAAGCACCCGAATGAAGGCGAAGCGTAAACTTCATACAAGCGTCTCGCAACACACGCACACAAGCGCAGAGTTCACCTACATTATCAGACCAAGCAGAAGATACTTCCAACGTAGGAATCGCGTGCACCGTGCTGATTGAGGACGAAAATCAGTCGACCAACTACTGGCAGAAAATCGAATTAAAAAAATAATCAATTACAGACTCGCGATGGGAAGCAGAATGTAACACTTAGCTTGAACAAATCTTCATAGTAAAGGATGTCAACAGATGTTTTCTTGGACGATCCTATGTCCAGCAGTGAATTTAAAATTTTTGTTTATAAGACGTGATACAAAAAAAAAGTTTAATAACTGTGTAGCTGTAGAGTGGTGGGAAATACTAGAAAATCCTTTGGTTTCAGATAACTCTTTTACGTTAGGCGTAAAATTAGAGACTGGATCATCACGCCGCCCGCCAAGTATGAGGATTAAGGCAAAACCCACATCCAGCAGTGGAATTTTACTGGTTAATGATGAAGAAGTTAAAGCGTTCGGAAGGGCTTTCGGCAGAGTAAAGCACTTGCGTGTGGAAGATTTATACAAACGTTTCGCCACGCGCGTTCGTAAGCAGATGCTTGTATATGAAGCTCCTGTACTCTCCATGAATCTGCTGGCGGCGTGTTTTAAACACTCCAATATAGCTACATACGGCTGTTTGTCATTACACCACTCTACACGCTTTAGCAAACGCTCTTCACTGAAACCTTACAAAAGCCAAGTCAAGAATTTCCACTTGAAGTGTGGGAACGTTCCCAAATACATGACGCAATAAATAATTAATATGTAATATGATAATGATGTCTCCTAACCATATTTTATTTTGATCATAACTTTAAGGTAAAAAAGTTAACCTCACAGCCTATATACATGCCAGTATTGAGCACAGACCTCATTTTTGAGTGGATTTTAGGAGTAATTTCTGCGCCGCATTGATCCAATGAGTGTTGGCCGACGTCACAGTTATGTTCTCGAAATACTTCATTTCTCAGAATTGCAGGTTTAACATGTCAATGTTTTGCTTCAGCATCGAGCACATAATAAACAATAATTTCATTGGTGAGGTCGGTGGTAAAAACCGGAGTTGCTCGTGTACCGTACTGAGCTCGCCGTGTGTTTACGGCAAGTTCATAGCTCAAACGGCTCATAGGTGCCACGCGTGTGATATTTTTTTCAATAACTACAAGGAAGAAAAGAAGCAAACTATCCGATTTGCTTCGTTATGTACGCAAGAAAATATAGTGATATAAAATCTACTTTATTGTTTATACATTAAGGTACAATAAGTTGCGAAGTGAGGTGACTATGTTTGCTGTTTGATGTACGTATTTTAATGGCAATTCGTAATAGTTGAATTCAAAGATGCGTGATTGTGATAGAAATATATTTTGTCTTTAGCCATCATGTTTAACTTTATACAATTTATATAAACAACTTTGCTAGTATATTATTTTTAAATTTAATCATTATATATGAGTTTTAGTTTTGATTTACCACAATATGCTTATTAGTGCAGAAAACTAACACCAGACCGCACGCGTGCTGCCTGTATCTTTAAAAAAATAAGTGTTTCGATCCTCCCGTTTCCGTTACAAAAGATGATTAATTTGCTGAAACTTACATTTTTAAACGAAAATTCTCATCATTTAAATACAGTTACCTAACTACGAAAGGCATATACGTGGGATTTTTCTAAATGGACTGAAATTAATTGAATTTCGAATGCTGTTTATCAAAGCAAAGCCGAGGGAGTAGACAATCGCTAGATGGACGAGTTCACGACCTAAGGCGGACTTGACCTAATTTGTTTTCAAGTTCACCGTTGCCCCACTTTGGCCGGGCGTGGCGATTCATTTGCATCCAATGGACGCAGTACTTCCTATGTAGTGTGATGCAAGCCACTCGCAGTAAGGTTCACAAGCTTCGCTTTAACGAGGTGGTGCTTCAAATATATTTTGTAGAGAGCATCTGGTATTTTTTTAAAACAATATGTATGTATATTTTAGAGAAAAATAAAGTAATATTTCTAAGCTATTGTTGCGCGCCTAAGTTGACGTCTGGTACCTGGCACTAGCGCCATCTAGTGTCGGGGACCAGAGCGAGGAGGGCTTCCTAGAAAATGTCAATTTTGAACTTTCCACCAACAGCGCCATCTAGTATCGAACAGAAGAATTAAGCTTTCTAGAAGCCCCACACTCGAACTTTCTGCGTCTGGTCGGTCGGCGCCCGTATTTACTGGAATGTTCTGGATGTTTCGGTGTAAAAGGTATATTTAAAGCCGCTGCAAGCATCGATCTGGGCAGTATTGAATTTAGCGAGACAAGCGATGCTACGGAGCGAAATAAAGTAAATCAGTGTGATTAATTTTTAGTGTTTTTTTAAGTTTCAATTGGTGTTCGCTAATAAAAGTGTAAATTTTGGTAATTCAATCGGCAGTTTTTATTGTCACGAAGCTCAAGCTCGTAACACTATTATATTTATACTTTTGTGCACATTTATACCACAGTAAAATTATGTCAATTTGATCCTTTTCTCTTTATAATAAATACTAAAAAAACATAAGACAATTATCGATGTTCACATGTTTTAATATAATCGTTAACATAACTCATTTCAACAAAAATATACGTTTATTCAATCAGTGTATGACCGTAACTTTTAATACGTGGTAAAGCAGCGCTGCAGCTTTATTATGGTAGTAGCACGAATTGGTTGGCTCCATCCAATAGGGAAGGACCACGTTCTGACAGAATACCTGCGTAAAATAGCAGCTTGATGTTACTGTATTTCGTATTGTGAGTGTAGATAATGGGGATTCCTTTTACTGGAAACGAGTAACCGTAGACAGAGAAACCTATAGACTAATGACTAGCGTGGCCTCGAGTGAGAAAGGACGATAACGTAATTTTAGGTAATACAATAATCTTTATGACTTTTAAACATATTTAGATAAAATTTTTAATTGTTCTAAGAACTGAACTGAACAAGATTCACCAATCTTAAGCTCACAAAACACTTTTTTCTCACTTAAACCAACTTGTAAACTCCTTAGATCGCTACGAACTGTCAAATTTGTTTAGCAAAGTGTAGTTTGCTAAACAAAAAAGCCGGCACGGAGAAAGGGACAAACAATCACACCGCTCTATCTCATTTCTATGCAAGATGTATGCATAAATGTAGACTCTTTTTCGTGTGCGAATGCGAAAGAAGGCGTCAATTTGTCTATAGGTTTCTCTGTCTACGTCCCAAACCATTATTAATGCCTACTAAATACGTCTACTGTCACATTATAATTGGAATGTGAGCGGATGTGTTTAAGTTAATCGATTGATGATAGTTATATAAAATATTCACATGAATTATAGAAACGAATAAACATGAGCCATTTATCAGTAGTTGGTGTTGAGTGTGAAAGTTCCGTGTAACTACTTAATTAGAGTTAACACTATGGCTTAGTGACAGTCCAATAATTGCGTGAGTGTATTGTACGTGTATATATGAATAAATTATAAATTAACTAAAAATAAATTGCATGTTTGTGCCAAATTTCTATAAGTATTAAAATATTATGATTTCTAATATTAACACGTATACTATAAATTAAATGAAAATAATATTTCTGCATAGATCGGGTCTAAGATTGAGATTGTAATTGGTTTTTATAACGGTTTTATAACGTATAAAATTGGCTGTATAACGTCCGAAGCGTCCAGAAATAAATTATTATATAAATAATTTCCACATCATTAATATTTTAATCTATTGTAATCAAAGTAAAATTACTCTACTCTTTGTTACATTTTTTAATAAATGTAATTCAAAAGAAATTGATTTTCATTTACATAGGATTGACAAATGTTCTTATTTAATTTATTCGAGTTCAAAAAACGAGAAGGTTAAT